GTGCCTTTCTCTCCTCCTCCGCCCTTGCGGCCTCTGCAGCCTCTCGCGCCCGTCTCTCCTCCTCTGCCCTTGCCGCTGCCTCTGCAGCCTCTCGTGCCCGTCTCTCCTCCTCTGCCCTTGCCGCTGCCTCTGCAGCCTCTCGTGCCCGTCTCTGCTCTTCCATTCTTGCCTCTCGTGCCTTTTTTATCTCCCCCTCCACCCTTGCGGCGGCCTTTGCGTCCTTCCGTACCTTTCTGTCCGCTTCCACCCTTGCTGCCCTTGCTGCTGCCGCTGCAGTCTCAGTTACCTTCTTCTTTCGGTGTGTATCTTCCCTCGCGGCAGACTTTGCATCCTGTTCATACGCCGCCCTGTTCACAGTCCAGGGCTCGTCCTGTCAAAGTACCGACCGGGACAACGAACCTGTGAAACGAAGTTTCCCAAACCAAAAGACTGTCCCAACCCGACGACGCACGAGCTCTGCCGCAACCGAAAGAAACTTGGCAGTGGTACAGTAGTAACTGACAAATCCTGCCGGTGCTCGTCGCCATCCTCCCGCGACGGGGACTCTTCTTCGTATGGCGCCGAAACTTCCTCGACTTCTGCGGCCTGTCGACCAATAAGATGTGCCATGTACTTGTGCGACCCTCTCATTCGCTCATTCCTCCAGGCCAGTGAGCAACTTCTGAGATGTGCTTCCGCAGGATAGCAATGAGAGTACGGCTAAGAACATTCCAGAATGCTTGAAAAAACACCTCAACTCCCATAGCACTGTTTCTACTTCATGCAGCAAGTCGTGGGCAGTTTGTGGTCTAGATGAATGGATTAAACCTTGGAGCGCGCATGGCCGCCGACCCCAGATGGCGACGACCTGTACGTGCAGACACCAAACCTTGCAAACTAAGGGCCAGACTCGTACAGACTGCGCAAAATCAACCCCATCTTGTCATCGCCTCTTCCATCTCTGCTTCGTCCTCCTCTACCTCAGGCTGCTCTTGCTCTTCTGCTTCTTCTTTTTCCTGCAGCAAGTCATTG